TTGCTTCTATTTTTACTTGGGTTTTAAAGTATGGTTCACCCTCTTAGAGTGTGGGTAAAAGGCTTTTGTTTGCACTTTAATTTTTGTTGCCTGTTTCTTTGCACACAATAACATTCTATTTTTGGAAACTCAGAGTATATTCATTAGTTTACATTAAGCATAACAGAATTCATAGCAGGAGGCAAGACCCACTCATATTTAATAGTTTACAGCAAACATCACAGAATTCATACTGGGATGCAGTAACCCCCCCATATTTAATCCCTGTACACACAAGAGACATTATTTCATTAAAAAATTAAATAAATAAATAATAAAAATCAGACAACACTACTGTGGCTGACTGTTAAAGTACTTTTAAAGCCTCCCTGAGCCATGTAATTCCATGGTTGGGTCTTCTGATAGTGTCTGGCTGTTCAGTTTCAGTAAACAGCTGGTCCACCTTGCTCCTCCACCCTGGGGGTAGCTTTTCTCCCTCTGCCTCACAGATCTTATGCAATACACAACATGCAGCTATAATCATGGGGATGTTTGCCTTGCTAAGATCCAATCTAGTGAATAAACAGTGCCAGCATCCTTTCATCCTACCAAAAGCACATTCAACAGTCATTCTGCACCTGCTGAGCTGGTAGTTGAATCTTTCTTTGATGCTGTTGTGGTGGCCAACATACAGTTTCATGAGTTAGGTGACCAAGGGATAAGCTGGATCTCCCAGAATCACTATTGGCATTTCAACATCGCCAGTAGTAATCTGATGGTCTGGGAAGAATGCACCTCCTTGTAGCTTTCTGAACAGGCCAGTGTTCTTAAAGAAGTGAGCATCATGCACCTTCCCTGACCAGCCCACGTTAATATCAGCAGAGAGTCCCCAGTGATCCACTGGCAATTGCTTAACCATGGAAAAGTATCCCTTTCTGTTGATGTACTCAGTGGCAAGGGGTGGGATGCTGCAAGGTGTGCTGGTGCCAGAAGAGGGATATGCGTGCTATCACCCCACCACAGTTTGGGAACCACATTGCTGCAAAACCATCCGCTATTTTCTGTACATTACCGAGAACCACAGTCCTGTATAGCAAGAGACACTTAATGGTGTTACACACTCAGATGACAATGGCCCTCACTGAGGATTTTCCAACTCCCAACTGATTGCCTACTGACCAATAGCAATTCAGTGTTGCAAGTGTAAACAGTGTCTGAGTGAGCTATCCCCTGACATTAGGCATGAACTGGTGGGAGAAAAGACTTCAGGAGCAGACCGTATTTGCATAGACACACCTACTCTGCCTACATGTTCAACAGACAGAGCTGCTTTGCCAAAATGATCAATTTGGGGTTACAATTTGCAGGGGTAACAAAATTTTGTTGTACTTATTGTCTGAGTAAAGGACAGCAGCGCTCTTAGCATGCCCTGATTGAGGGAGGCACCCTAACTTGAACCTCACTTGCTAAGCAGCGAAAGACAAAGAGAGTGGGGGCAGATGTTCCTACCTGGTTGTGTGAACTCTGAATCACAGACACCATTTGAGCCTCTTCTCTCCAGTGTTTAAAGCTAGAGCTGATCAGACTCAATTGAGGGTCTACATAAGAATGGTCATACTAGTGGTCCATCTCACCCAATATCCTGTCTTCTGACAAAGAACAGTGCCAGATGTTTCAGAAGAAATGAACAGAACATGGAAATGTTTTGAATGATTCCTGCCCTGTCATCCAGTCTCAGCTTCTAGCAGTCAGAGGTTTAAGTACACCTGGGACATGGGGTTGCATCCCTGACCATCTTGGCTAATAGCCATTGATAGATCTATCCTCCATGAATTTACCTAATTTTTTTAAATCCAGTTATACTTTTAGTCTTCACCACATTCCCTGGCAACAAGTTTCACAGGTTGACTGTGTGTTGCCTGAAGTACTTCCTAATTTTTTTCTTCTATTAATTTAACTGGGTGACCCCTGGTTCATGTGTTAATTTCATTGAATGTTTTTCTGGATAACTCTGGAGATGATTCTCCCATATCCTCTTGAAATAGCCCCCCAGTGTTGAGCTCCATTAAAGCACAACAGCTCCTTTCTCAACAAATCAGTTGTAATGAGCCTCTGAGTTCTCAGGCTTGTGGTATCAGCATTTCCCTGCCAGCAAACCAGAAGCTGTCTGTGTATGCTAGGTAGAGGAGCTGTCTGGGTAACTGGGCAAAGGTATGTCTACAATGCAATTAAAAACCCATGGCTGGCCTGTGCCAGCTGACTCGGGCTAAGGGGCTGTTTAACTACCGTGAAGATGTTCAGGCCCAGGCTGGAGCCCAGGCTCTAGGACCCTGCGAGGTGGGAGGGTCCCAGACCTGGAGCTGCAGTCCCAGCTCCAACATCTACACACGTTGTTTTCAACCTGTGGTCTGCGGACCCCTGGGAGTCGACAGAGTATGTCTAAGGGGTCCATGAAAGGTAGGGTTGCCCACCCTCTAAGATTGTCCTGGAGTCTCCAGGAATTAAAAATGAATCTTTAATTAAAGATTATGTCATGTGATGAAACCTCCAGGAATACATCCAACCACAACTGGCAACCCTAGTGAAAGGTGATTATAAAAATAAAGTTTCAGATCCCAGAAAAGGCATTCTGGTTCTCTGATCAATCAAAAATAGGTGAATACCCCCACCTACAGGTCAAAACCTGGAAGTGTTGTCATTACCATAGAAGCCCACAGTTTAGCACCCTTTCTCAGGCTGTCAAATGCCGTGCCAGGCACAAGCAACGTTTATATTTGCATTCTGTTCAGTCAGTTTTCTATCTAAGGCTTGGTCTACAATACAGAGTTAGGTTGACGTAAGGCACGAGAGGCATAGGGCTTATGTCTGTGTAGTTAGGGCGACACAGTGTCCATGTAGCCACTGCATTACTTACATGGGCTGCTGGCTAAAGTCCTGAAATTGACAAGAAAGGCTGGTAGGTTCCCTGCTGTGAACCCTGCACCTGGCTCACAGTTAAGGCTGTCACCCCAGCGCAAGTGGTGGGCTCCAGTTAGAGCTCGGCTGTTCCCCGGGCTACCCACTTCCAGCAGGCTGCTACCCAGGCTCCCCTGTCCCTGCTGGGAGCCCTGCTGCTCCCTGGGCTCCTGGCTACCTGCTCCCAGCAGGCTGCTGCCTGGGTTCCCCTCTCCCTCCTGGGAGCCCTGTGGGCCCCCGCTAGGCTGCTGCCCAGGCTCCCCACTCCAAGCCTGGCTACTGGGTGCTGCGAGCCAGTGCTCTCAGCTCCCCAGGGAGCTCCCAGAGCTGTAAGATTGTGGCTGTTCTGAGCAATTTCACTGCTGATGGGCTCTGTGCTGTGAAATTGAGCATGGGAGGAGCTCATAGCTGGGGCTGTCACCCCAGAGTGGATGGGGAACTCCAGCTGTGAGCTCCACGTGGCTGTCAGAGCCCCACAATGCCTCACGTCAGTCAGTGCACTGCAAGTGCTCCTGGTGAAGATGGGCTCCACTGACAGAAGGAGGATAGTGTGGACACCAACAGCCCATTGAATTACTGCAGTGATTGTAGGTCGATCTAAATTAAGTCGACCGAATTTTGTAGTGTAGACAAGCCCTAAGATTTCTATGGTAGGGGGTCCACAGACCACAAGCTGAATTCCCAAAGGAGTCTGCACCTCCATTCAAAAATTTGTAAGGGTCCGCAAATGAAAAAAAAGTTGAAAACCACTGGTCTACACTGCAATGAAACAGCTCCTAAGCTGGAGCCCCTCGAGCCTGAGTCAGCTGGCATGGGCCAGCCATAGATGTCTAATTGCAATGTAGACTTCTCTTTAGAACTTTGCTTCTTATGCCCTCACAATGAACATGGAGAGGGGGTGATGTGGAATGGGTGCAGTGCGGTGGTCTGGGAACAGTGGGGGAACATTGGGGCAGTGAGGGGTGGGGGCAGTGAGGAAGATCTTTGGGGGATACAGAGGGAGCTGGTAGTTTCGGTGAGGAGCAGTGAGGGGGTGGCTGTGGGAAGGAATGAGGGTGGAGAGGGAGTGAGCAGGATCAGTCAGGGTGCCAGTGGGGAGGATCAACGGGGACCGGGGCACATTAAGGGCAGTAAGCGGTGGGTTGAATGGGGAAGATTAATGAGAGTTGTGGGGGCAGTGGAAAATAGCGGGTTGTTGGGGTGGCAGTAGGGGGTATATGGGGACAGTGGGGTGGATGATTAGTGAGAGCTGGGGCTCATTGGGAGAGTGGGCAGTGGGGTATATTGGGGGTACATTGGAGCAATGGTTAGTATGCCTGTGGGGACAGTGGGGTGCAGGTACACTAAGACAGTACGTAGTATGTGGGGGGGGCAGTGAGTGGTATGGGTGGGGTCCGTGATGTGCATGGGGTGGCGGCGGCGGGTTCCCTCACGCTCGGAGGCGGGGCTGGTGGCCGGGGCGGGGTTTCCCTGGTGACTGGCGGGAGCGAGCGGGCCGGCAGGCGGGAGCGGGCTGGGGGCGGGGTCGGGCCGGCCTCTAACGGCGGCAGCACGAGCCCCTGCGGGCAGAGCGGCGCTTCCTGTCCCGCCCTCTCCCCTCCGGGTCCTGCCGCCTGCACGGCCCCGCGATGTCCCTGGTGCGGGTGACGCGGCCCCGCGCCCCGGGGAAGAAGCCGCCGAAGGCGAAGAAGAAGCCGCCGCCCAAGCGGGACTGGGACGTGAGTGGAGCCCTCGCCCGGTATAGCTGGGGAAACTGAGGCACGGCGGGGGGGCCGCAGGGAGCCGGGTGATGGCTGCCGGAGGACGCGGGCTCCTGCGCTGCCTGGCGCTGGTGGATCACCGCGGGGGCGAGCGGCGGGGGCCGGGCTCCGGAGAGGCGGACTGACGAGCCCGCCCTGCCGCATGCGTGTGCTGGGCGAGCCCCGGCCCGGCCCCCCAGGGGAAGATGCCTTCCCGTGCCAGCCTGTGTCCGGCCCGGCGCTCAGAGGGAGCCTGGCTGCGGTTCCACTTTCCGTTTCCTTTTCTTTCTGGGCCTCGTGGCTGCCCCCCTCTCGCCTTGCCCTCGCTAATAAGTCCTCTCCGTTGAAGGGGCCGTGCCCCTGGCGTACCTAGAGCCGGGCGCATCCCCTTTGGCCTCCTCCTGGCTGATGCCAGCTCTACATCTCAAGGTTTTGTTGGCACAACTGGGTCCGTCTGGGGCGTGAAACACCACAGCCACTAGCCAGCCTAGCTGCTGGCAAAGCCCCCCGGGGGGTAGATGCAGCTATGCCCGGGGAAGAGTTACTCCTACGGGCATTCTACGCCAAAAAATTTAAAATTCTGCACACAATATTTTTAAATTCTGCAAAATTCTGCAAATGTTATTTGTTAAATAAATGTGGAGGCTCCAGCATTGGTTCCACAGAGATGGGAAGCAGTAACTCTGAAAAGACTTGAGGGTGGTGGTGAATAATGACCTGAACATGAACTCCCAATGTGATGCTGTTGCTAAAAGAGCTAATGCGATCTTTGAATGCATAAACAGGGGCATCTTGCGTAGGGGTAGATTATTTTACCTCTGTATTTGGCACTGGTGTGATTGCTGCTGGAGGCCTGTGTCCAGTTTTGGTGCCCAGAATTCAAGAAGAATGTTGATAAACTAGAGAGAATTCAAAGAAAAGCAACACAAATGATTAATTAAAGGATTAGAAAACAAGCCTTATAAGGTAGACTCAAAGAGATCAATCTGTTTAGTTTAACAAAGAGAAGGTTAAGGGTTGATTTGCTTACAGTCTCTGTACATGGGGATTAAATATTAATAATGGTCTGTTCAATCTAGCAAAGAAGAGTGTAACAATCCAATGGCTGGAAGACCAGTTCAGATTGGGAATAAGGCATACATTTTTGAAAGTGAGGGTAATTAACCATTAGGACAATTTACCAAGGGTCAGGGTGGATTCTCTATCACTGATTACTTTTAAATCAAGCTTGGATGATTTTTCTCAAAAATCTGCTCTATGAATTATTTTGGGGAAGTTCCATGGCCTGTGTTATACAAGAGGTTAGACTAATTGATCACAGTGCTCCCTTCTGGCCTTGGAATCTATGATCCTCTAGTCTGATCTGCATACGCAGGTTAACATTTGATAGGTAGATAATTCTCATTGAGGATCCATTACCCCATTCACCATGCACTGTATAAGCTTCACCTTACACAGTTATAGAAATACAATATTATATAATTTTCTGTTTCTATAATTTTCTGCAGGGTCCTATTTTACTTCATGGTCACAGTTTGCAGAATACACCCCTGCTCCAGAATCTAAGCTTCTGTACTTAAAAAAAGAGAGTAATTTCTGTAATTAAAAAAAAATTCATTCTGCATTTTCTATAGCTGCCTACACCAATGTGAAGTAGGTTTAAAATTCCATGACTTACTTTGAACTATGAGGATTAGACACATAGATTAATGGTGAATTGGGCCCTGTGTCTGTGTGTCTTATGGCTGTAAAAAGAACTTTCCAAAAGTGAATAGAGTATTACTGATGCTATGCTGTGTCAGTATGTAGACAGCCTGAAACAATAGTGGAATGAACTGCCTCATTTATTACATGCTGCATAAACCTTAGGCTAGGTCTACACTACCCGCCTGAATCGGCGGGTAGAAATCGATCTCTCGGGGATCGAATTATCGCGTCTCGTCGGGACGTGACAATCGATCCCCGAATCGACGTTCTTACTCCACCAGCGGAGGTGGGAGTAAGTGCCGTCGACAGGGAGCCGCGGAGGTCGATTTTGCCGCCGTCGTCACAGCGGGGTAAGTCGGCTCTGATAGGTCGAATTCAGCTACGCTATTCGCGTAGCTGAATTTGCGTATCTTAAATCGACCCCCCCGTAGTGAAGACCTGCCCTTAGACAGAAACGAGGTATTGACTTTGAAACCTACCAATAGTAATATCAATGTTGACATTTAAAACTCTTTTCACTGCTCATCACTTGTGGAGGAATAGTCAATGAATATGTTGGCTAAAATACAAAACCGGGTACAAAAAGCCCCTGCTACTGCCATCCACTGCCATCATTGTCAATTTCTTTTTGCACGCACCCTAGACAACTTCCACATATGAAATTGAGTTTTCAACACAAAGTTCTGCAGCACACTGAAAACTTAAATTGTACAAGGATTATCATACTGATGGTTTTCATTTAATTAAATATGAAAATGAACACATCCATCTTTTATCTTATCTGAAGGTGCTGCAGGGTTTTCAGCTGCTGCTCCAAAGCATCATTGAAACACAGGGACCTTGAAGTAGAAGTCATTTGCTATAGAGTATCCTGGATCTAGCTTGCACAGTCAGAGAGGTGTAGGCTATGGAGCACTCAGATCATTCACTATGCATCTTGTATAGAGTGACTCTCTGGCATACACATGTATGTGAGCTTGTAGGGGGAAAAAAAATTGTATTATTTCTATCCTAAGTACTCTTATGGCCACCATCACTGTAGTATCTGAACACCTCACAACCTTTAGAGCAGGGGTAGGCTCGGCATGCGAGCTGATTTTCAGTGGCATTCACACTACCCAGATTCTGGCCACCGGTCCGGGGGGGCTCTGCATTTTAATTTAATTTTAAATGAAGCTTCTTAAACATTTTTAAAACCTTATTTATTTTACATACAACAATAGTTTAGTTATATATTATAGACTTGTAGAAAGAGACCTTCTAAAAACGTTAAAATGTATTACTGGTACGCGAAACCTTAAATTAGAGTGAATAAATGAAGACTCAGCACACCATTTCTGAAAGGTTGCCGACCCCTGCTTTAGAGTATTTATCCTTACAACACCTCTGTGAGGTATTATCCCCACTTTACAGATAAAGAACTGAGACAGAGTGGCTAAGTATTTTGCCCAAGGTCATACAAGAAGTCTGGCAGAACAGGGACTTGAACCCAAATCCTATGCTAATGCCCTAAAACTGGTCCATCCTCCCTCTCTTCCTTTTGAGAAATAATATGTGATCATCACATAATTAAAGATTGTGTCATGATGTATGCGCCCAAGGGGGCAGAGTTAGGATTCCACAGGCTGCCTTAACATTATCATTGCCTGACTTTTGAATGCAAACTTAATATTCTTTTAACATAGTTTTTTGATGGAACTGCAGAACTGTACAGTTCTGTGTAGAACTGTAAAGTGATCTATGCCAGATTGTCTTTTACATCTCTGTTCTATTTATCAATAGACACCTGTCTCTAAAATTGGAGGGCTGATTATTTTAGTAACTTAAAGAGCAAATCAATAGGGCATTAAAAAAAATTAATGCCTGATTCCACCTCTGTGTTTGTTTATATTTGTTGTGTTCTCTTGTTTCTTTTTGCAGAGCACTGTCCATGATTTAACAGTGCATCGTGCAACTCCTGAAGACATGGTAAGTCAAAAATCTGTCATTGACCTGTTATGGAATAGAGGTAATCTACTTGGTCATCTGAGGCAGATATTTCATTTTATTTATATGGGGTATTTTGTTTATAACATCTTATCTCCCTTCCCTACCCACCCAAAACTTTTTTAAATATAGCTTTCCCCCCCCAATAATGATATGCACAACCGCTTCTTTTAGCAGTGCTCATCTGCTTAATGTCTCCTTCAGCCAGCTTATTTTAACCAATATTCTGATATATTTTCCAGTGGATCCCTTTAGAATGTTTTCCAACATAGGATAATGCGGAGGGGAGAAAACCTTCTAATAGATAAGTTTAACCTGCATCATCTTCACTGAAGAAAGGGCTGAAAAATATGTTATTTAGTCTTGGAATTTCCTTAATTCTTGGGGGCGTTTGAACAGGTTCACACCACTACTACTGTTCCTGCTATGTAGAGCTATTATTCTTCACAAGGTATGAGTTCAATTCCATCCAGCTGACAGCAATGAGATAGATATATATATATATATATATTAGTATAATATTGAGGATACAATGGAGTTCGTGCTCATTTAGGATTATATCTCTTGTGAGGAGGCTAGTCTTGATGACAAGTCTCTTTCTAAATTCTGTAACTTAATTACTCTCTAATCAGGGTGCCTGGAGGCCTGTGAGAATCTAATACATTAAATGTGCTATTAATCTGAATTGGATACATGCTTCCCATTCAGAGGGTGGGGACACTGTTACCCAACGCAGTGCTGAATCAGACAATTCATTTTGCCTTGTTTTCAGTGTGCTGGATGACAGTATTTCTGTGACAGCTGGATACAGCTGTTACTGTTATTTCAGTAATGTAGGGCAGATGGGAACACATACATTTCCCCCTTCCCTTTGCTCTGTGAGGTAACTTAAACTTTTGTTCTTCACGGAGTGGTTGACTCTGATTGCAGATGACATTACTGGCATCACCAACATTTGGTTTGACTTCATGGTACCCAATGCATAAATTGGTAAACCCTGCTTGTAAGAGTGCCTTAGCTTACAGGTTGTCAACCTTTCTTTCTTTTTTTTTTTTTTTTTTTTTTTTTTTTTTAGGCCTCCTCAACATGCTATAAAAACTCCATGGCCCAGCTGTGCCACAACAACTGTTTTTATGCATATAAAAGCCAGGGCCGGCATTAGGGTGTAGCAAGCAGGGCAATTGCCTGGGGCCCCACACCACAGGGGGCACTGTAAAACTAAATTGTTCAGGATTTGGCTTCAGCCCTGGATAGTGAGGCTCGGGGCCCCGGGCTGCAGTCCCGCATGCCAAGACTTCTGCTTTGGCTTTCTGCCCTAGGCCCTAGAGAGTCTAATGCCAGCCATGCTTGGCGGACCCCCTGAAACCTGCTCTTGGCCCCCGAGGGGGCCCCAGAATGCTGGTTGAGAACCACTGCCTTAGCTTGTCCCTTAGATTTGAACCAAATTCTCTTCCATGCTCGCATAGGTGCGCCGTCATGAGATACACAAGTCAAAGAACAAAGCACTGGTGCATGTGGAGCTACAAGAGAGAGCATTGAAGAGAAAATGGAAGAAGCAGAGGCAGGGGGCTCCTGATTCCCTAGAGAAAAGGAAGCTGGCCCTCATGCGAGAGGTAAGAGCTAGGTCTGGACTTTCAACACATGTTTTTAATTTGCCAGGAATGTGAAGCAAGCATTTTGCATCTTCTTCCTCATCTCCTTTGCTACGAAGGACTTGTAGCAAAATGGAAAATTGCTCCTGAATGAAGGCCGAAATCTACTGCCTGGCTGAATAATCAAGCTTGGCTGATGTAAAGAATCCCTCACCCCAGGTGCTCTTCTTTCAGCTACTGCAGAACACTGGTTGGAGTAGGCTCTGTGGTTAACAGGTGCCCAAGCCCCAAGGAGACATGATCATGTGGTCTACATAGTGTCAGATCTTACCTCTGGCCCCTGCCCTTGCCTTGTCCCCTGCCATTTCGTGAATGCTGCTGTGCAGGGATCCTTGCAGTTCTAAATTTCAAGCTGTGCAAGGAAGATGTATCCTGTGCTTGTCTCCCCACCCACCCACCATGTACTCTATTGTTTAGTGGAAATGCTAAGGTTGTGTCTGGGGAACCTCTATACCTGTAATTGCTGTATTTAACAATAAGAAAGGAGGAGAGCAAGAAGGGGAGTGGTTTTTTTTGTTTTTTTTTAAAAGAGGGGTGGGGAGGGGGAAGGGAAAGAAAACTGACAAAACGGGTTGAGGAGCTGTAACTGCTGGCAGGTGATCTAGTGTTCCTCAGTTTGGAATTTAATTCTGTCCCACACTATCTGGGCCTGCCTTAAACACTGTGTAATACTACTACTACTATTTAACTAGCTTTTGAGTTCTGACTGCAGCAGCACTATCTGACTCCAGTCAGGAGGCAATAGCTTCTCACTCAATTAAATGATTTCCCCTGATTCAAGCATCCAGTAATTCCCTGCAGCATGGTTATTTGAGATGTGCCAATTGCTGTGGGCCATGGGATTAGTCACAAATTCTTGTACCTATAAAAGTTATGTGTATCTTTGTGAGCTAGGGATTGTATGTTAGCTTCATGGGGGAGGGTTACCAAGCTTTCCCTAAGAACTACATCAGTGGAAGCTAATTACTGCAGCTGCCAGGACAGGTAATCAACTCCAGAGAAGTACCACCTTCTGGGGGGAGTTGCCTATATAGGCTAAAACAACAAGGAGTCTGGTGGCACCTTAAAGACTAACAGATTTATTTGGGCATAAG